TCCGATGGGCTCAGCGGAAGAAGGCTGACCCATTGCATCCCGAAATTAGATCACTACTGGAGTTCCTACAAGGATGGTCTGGTAAGCGGTCTCAGGGCAGTAACCCTCAAGAAACAGATGGTGGCCCTGGCTTTGGTCCTGCCCTGGTACAATTGTCTTAACTGATGGGCTCAGCGGAAGAAGGCTGACCCATTGCATCCGGAAATTAGATCACTACTGGAGTTCCTACAAGGATGGTCTGGTAAGCGGTCTCAGGGCAGTAACCCTCAAGAAACAGATGGTGGCCCTGGCTTTGGTCCTGCCCTGGTACAATTGTCTTAACATCCCTCACATTTGCCATTTCCTCAGTGGGGCATCATTCAAGGATTCTCCACAGATACATAGGTTTACAACTTGGAAGCTTAATACTGTTCTCACAGCTCTTATGAAGGAACCCTTTGAGCCGATGTAGCCATTCTGCTCAAATTCCCTCGGATGAAAACTTTGTTCCCGCTGGCCATTACTTCAACCAGGAGGATTTCGGAACTAGGCACTCTGTCAATTCAGTTGGAGCTATGTTTTTCACAAAGACAAGGTAGTTCTGAGAACAGATTCCACCTTTTTGCCCAAAGGTCAATACTAAGTTTCACAGATCACAAGAGATTTGTTTGCCATCATTTTCTCCAAATTCAACCCATCTGGAGGAACAAGTTTGACATACACTGGATGTGAGGAGAGTGCTCAAATGCTATATTCTCAGAATGGCCTGTTTCAGATGGACAGAAGAGATGTTTGTTAACATTTCTCTTCTTCACACAGGGAGAAAGATGTCTAACTCTGCCATAAGCAACACTATGAGGTCCTGCATTACGGTAGCCTACAGGAGTATGACATGAGTTCCTGCAGGTATCACTCTTTGCAGTGCTGCAACGAATATGGCCTTTGCCAACAGGGCATCGGTGGAGGAAGTCTGCAGGGCTGCTACGTGGTCTTTGTTATCCACATTCATCAGGCATTAGAAGATGTGTATGACTCTGCTGATGCAGCATTCGGTCAGAGAGTTCTGCAGTCTGTTCTAACTCTTGATGTCAACCACCCTCCCAAAATTAGGGACACTGCTCTGGGAGGTCCCACAAGATGTCTTCCACCTCAGAGGGAGAACGACCATTGGTTACTCACCGTGAAGGGTCCTTCTCCTCTGAGGCTTAGAGGACATCTTGGCCCTCCCGGGTCGTCATTTCCTCTATCTACTATGCTGTTCTTTCACACTCTATTTAAAAATAATAATAAGATTACGTGAGAGAGGGGACTCACCTTTTCCTTCCTGTTCCAATGTTTGTGATTTGGCTATACTCTTGTTGTTGATGTTCAAGTTCTCTTTTTTACAGTGGTTAAGTTAGTGTATTGCTTTTGGAGCACCAGAACTGAGCCTAGGGTGACTCCCACTACAGGAAACAGGAAGTAATTGAAATTAGTCCTGCCTCCCTAAGTGATGGATGGGAATCACCCACAAGATGTCCTCCAAGCCTCAGATGAGAAGGACCCTTCACAGTTTGTAACCAATGGTCGTTTGCCAGTCTCCTGAAATCACAGTAAGCAAATTGGATTCTGTAACAATCGATGCACTTCTTTCAGTGGTATCCTACCATAGGCTGGAGGAACTCCTTCCAGCCTAAGGAATGTTCCTCCATTGGAAGAAGAGCCACTTAAGTTGGAAGAAGGTTCCTTAGGCTGGAGGAAGGCTCCTATCTTTGCCTAATTTTCCATTTTTTCCATGCAACAGTTCCTACAAGTTACTCCCCCGTGTGAAATTGGAGCTGTGTGTCTGATTACAGGTACTGATACTGTAGGACTCCAGAAGTGGTTTGTTGTGATTCTTTGGCTGGTTTCCACTCATTTCACAAAATGAGAATAAGGACAAGCTATAGCTTGCCAACACAGAAATAATGGCAGACTTCCTTATGTGGGCAAACCAAAGTAAGTAATTGCCACTGGTGGTTTGATCTGTGGGGCTGTAATAGTTACATGATAAAGTGAGTTGCCAAGAGGCCCCTTTTCAGAGCAAGTTACCTGGTGTGACTCCCCTTTACCTAGTAAAAGATGTGGCCTTTATTACTGTTATTTCAAATCCAATATTTTTTTTACTGCTGCTTAAAGCTGTGGTGTAGCCACTGTTGGTCCAATTCAGATCACGCTTCTGGAGTTAATTGCTCCAGTGTTGTTTTCAGGACGTGGAGCTCAAAGTGGCAAAAACTGTGTAATTTGCCACCCTCTAATCACTTCTTCCTTCCCCTCCCCTTCCCATAGGAGTAAAATTGAGGATTCCCCAGAAATTGACTTTTAAAGCTTTATTTTGCTTTCAAGAATATAAAATGCCAGGCTCTCTTTTTAAAAACAAAAAAACCCCCAAAATAATAATTAAAATATGACTTGAGGCATTCCCTTAGAAATGTCCTTTCAGCACTTGCTTGATTTCCACAAACTGCTTAGAACTCTACTCTAATTCAGTAGGAGAGATGGTTCAGAGCTTATTGCATTATGCAGACCCTTATATTGAACTGTGTGCATAAAAAAAATATGCCTTGAGGCTGTGTGGCTCATTAATTTCAAACAAGACTTTCTAAAAAATATCTCTGAGGGCACAATAAAGCACACAGTGACTTTTGCCATCGCAGAGTCATCCTTTAATATCCATCTGTGACCTTTCCCAAAACAATATACAGCTAGCCCTTTAGCAGTGGAAATATAAATGGAGTAATTTATTACATTTTATTAGGTTAGGAGGGGGGGACTTGGGGTTTATTGTTTGATGCTTTAATTATGTATTGTAAGCTGCCTTGAAAGGCAGGATATAAATGTTTTTATAAACAAATGCAAAAATAATTGGAGCATTCATGGGTAGTTCATTGGGTGTGAAAGTAAGCACCAAGATTAGTGTGGGTCAAAGAACATATTACTTCTGCCACTGGAATGGTGCTAGAAATAGCATCACCGTGGCAAACCACGTCAGCGGGAGGCCATCACACTGTTACTTTCCATTCCCTCCCCTGCAGATACACAACAGTCCTGATCCATGTGGTGTTTCCAGATGTTATAGTAGGGAGATATGGCAAAGATGTTCAAGGTGTTTAAGTGCAAGATGTCCTGCAGAAAACACACAACTGGGCATTCACACAATCAAATGAAATCTCTGCCTCTTTCCAATAGATTAATCAAGACGAGTCCTGAATTGGCAGAATCCTGCACGTGGTTCCCAGAGTCTTACATGATTTATCCAACTAATCTAAAGACTCCGGTAGCTCCAGCACAGAATGGGATGCATCATCTGATAAATAACCCAAGAACAGATGAAAGGGAAGTCTTTCTGGCATCATATCAGAAGAGGAAAGAGAGCGGAGAGGGAAATGTTTGGATAGCCAAATCCTCGGCAGGTGCCAAAGGTTAGCATGGAATGGAAAGAGACACATAAAGGAGAAAGGCAGGCAAGATGAGGCAGTTGACTTATTGTCTTTCTTGCTTTTGGGATGGCAACAGGTGTGAATTAGCATGCCTCCTGAGGCTGGGTTTGATATGGAAGACTGTAGTTCTCATCTTTTGAGCTATTTTAGGTACCTTTTGTTTTCCTAGGGAACTGGGAATTCTTGGTAAATATTCTAGAACTGTCTTCCATTCTCAGAAATGTACTGTAATTACTGCATGCTCTTTGGAGGGTTAACATATGGTATTCTTTAAGCTTCTACCTCCGGGTTGAAACTGTATACCCTGGAGAAAGCCACAGGGGAAACAGGTGTTCTGGGGCAGGGGGAGGGATGATGCAGCAAATCAGCAGTGGTTTTCTGTCTACATTGCATTTGAAGCTGAGGGGTAAAAAAATAAATTATGGAGAATTGTACTAGATAACTGGATGGATTGAATGTTAGATCAGGCTGGCTCTGTTGAAAGTACCTGAGGACACATTCAAATTGGAAGAAGACCAGAGTATGTTTATTTTAGGGCATTTTCATCTTACTCTTTTCCCAAGGAACTCAGGGTGGTGTACCTGGTTCTCCCATTTCTCCTCTCACAACAACCTGAGAGAGAATGACGGGCACAAGGTCACCCATTAAATTACATGGCAAGTGGGGGTTGAACCCACCATGGCCCATGGCATGGACCAATGACCCCTACTGTGGTGCCTGAGGTTGCCATGGCACCCACCAATGTGTTTCCTGTCTGGTACCTGCATCCGTCTTCTCCAAAGCAAGAAGCCAATCCTGGTTTTTCGGCTCCTGTGAGGCACTTCAGGAAAGCCCAGAAGGCATCATCTTTGTGTCTCCAGGGAGAACCCAACAAAAAACAGCTGCCTCTGTCACAAGACAGCACTTGGCTTGGAACCTTCAAAATTTTGTCATTGACCCCATTCCATTTTATGTTTTTGCCATGCCTCCCATAGCAGCCATTTTGTGGTGGCATCCAATATCTGTTCACAAAATCCAAAAGTGCCCACAGATCAGGGAACCTTCAACAGAAGGCAGGAGGGGGGGAAGCAAGAATTTGACATAGCAATGGAAGAGGTTGTTAAAAAGATAAATGTGCGGGGTGGTGGTAGGTAGCATGAGCTAAGGCAAGATGTACTGTTGAGGAACCTAGCCTCATTGTGAGAGCTGGGGGAAGAAAGACCAAAGTGGAGAGTAAGCAGAAAGTCCTAATGAATAGAACTTGGAAGTAATAATAAAAGTAGAAGAGGATCCCTTTCCTAGCCTGGGATGATGTATATTGTATCAGAGAGGAAGGAAACCTAGAGGGGGTAAGGCACTGTAATGCAAGCCATGGCCCAGGTGGAAGCTCATGTGACTAGCAAGAGAGTGTGACTATGAGAATGGAATTCAAGGGGAAATTAGCTAATTTGGCTTCAGTTGACTCCATAACTTGTGCAACACGTTAAATTTATCCTCTAAGTTAATTCAGTGATGTCCAAGTGATTTCTAGTGTCTTCCAAAAAGAGTTTTGAGTCTCTCTGGCATCACAGATATCTGTTGAACGTGGTTTTGCTATGGGAAACAATCAATTTATTTCCCTTTATCTGGAGTAATTTAAAATCAGCTCCACTGGAATCTGCATCTAACATACAATGCAGGCATTGTGCTGTAGTTTAATGCCAGCAGTAATTCAAAACGACAAGGTGACACAGCATCTACACCAAATGCTGGCATGACCAGATCTTAAGAAAAAATCTTAAGAAAAAATGACCTGAAAAAATCTGCTTTTTTCCTCCAATTTTTTTGCAGGCAGGAAGGCCTGCAAAGGCTTGCAGGAGGGATCTCATTTCTCTTTCCCCTCTTTCCTCTTCCACTTCCTGAAATCCCACATAGCCTCTCCAGTTTTCCTGCTTTCTTTTCTGTTTCCCACCTACTAGGCATCCTACCTTTATCCCCCTGCCCTAGTCTTTGGCTTGCCCTCTTGGTTGTAGACTCTAGCTGGGAAAACTACGGTCCACTAGTGTGATGCCAGGCCAGACTCAGTTGCCTGGTAGAGAACCTGCAAGGACTCACCTCTCTTTGCCCTATATCTCCCTCCCCACACTATTTCCTCTTTCTATCTTCCTGGCAACCCACATTTCCTCATTTTTCCCAGCCTCATTCTCTTCTTCTCATCTACCAACTAATCTACTTTTTAACTGCCTCCCATCTTCAGCTATATGTATTATTTATTTATTTATTTCATTTATACCCCAACTTTCTCCACAATGGGGACCCAAAGCAGCTTATATAATTCTTTTTTATCTGTCACAACAACCTTGTGAGGAAAGTTAGACTCAGGATGTGTAACTGCTCCAAGGTCACTTAGTGGGCTTCCATGGAAGAGTGGGGATTTGAGCCTGGGTCTCCCAAATCCTAGTTTGAAGCTCCAACTACTATACCACACTGGCTTTCATGGGGTGACTGATGTTGAGCAGTAGCAAGCAGCTGCCAGTCACATGGTAGCAGGCAGTCTGATGGTTGCTGGTGGGCCCGGCCCCAACGAGTCCACCCTCAAAAGGCAGAACAGCCCTAGAAATGGCCTTGCTCCCTCCCCCAGCCTTTTACGGACAGAAACCAAGGCTTGAAGTCTGGTGATACTGTTGCAGTAGCCTAGCAGCTGCCACTGAGGGTGTCTGTTTCTTAAAGGTACAGGTGCTCCATTTATCATTTTGGGTTTTTTTTAACCACCCAATGCATTTTTAAAAAGATTTCAGATTTTTATGCAAAACTGGGGCAGTTTTCAAGTTTGTGAAACTATCTGTCTTTTCTGCTACTGCCTCCAGATTTAAGTATCAACAGATCTGGCTACGTTAAGAATTAGATATATTAATGTTTGTAACATCTGGTGAACTTAAAAGCTTGCACATTGTCAAGTATCATGGGCTAGTCCTAATAAAAAGTATTACAAAGACTGTGTTCTTGGTTTCCTGAAGCCAAAAAGCCACTTGTGCCATTCTTACATAAGAACATAAGAGATGCCAATGTTGGATCAGGCCAAAGGCCCATCCAGTCCAACACTCTGTATCACACAGTGGCCAGAAATACCAGTGCCATCAGGAGGTCCAGCAGTGGGGCCAGGACATTAGAAGCCCTCCCACTGTTGACCCCCCCCCAAGCACCAAGAAGACAGAGCATCACTTGCCCCAGAGCCCCTAGCTATACCTTGTGGCTAATAGCCACTGATGGACCTCTGCTCCATATGCTTATCTAATTCCCTTTTGAAGCCGTCCATGCTTGTAGCTGCCACCACTTCCTGTGGCAGTGAATTCCATGTGTTAATCGCTCTTTGGGTGAAGAAGTACTTCCTTTTATCCGTTCTAACCCGACCGCTCAGCAATTTCATGGAGTGCCCACGAGTTCTTGTATTGTGAGAAAGGGAGAAAAGTACCTCTTTCTCTACCTGCTCTTTCCCATGCATAATCTTATAAACCTCGATCATGTCACCCCTCAGTCGTCGTTTCTCCAAGCTACATTCTTACCTGTAGCTGAGCTGGGGAGCCTACCCAAAAATGAAACTGCAAGAGTGTGTCTATCATTGGGTTAGTTTCCTGTGATTACATATTGCTGGCAGTGGTTAGAATATTCCATATATAGTTGCAGGGTTTTTCAGTGAGAGATAAAAATTGGAGGTATCACAGCCCATGTTTCTTATCCACAATTCCACTGTGTCAGAGTTAACAGCATCCCTTTGCTTATAGAATGTAACATTTTCATCCTGTCCCACTTTTTTGTGTTTGAATATTTTTCCCTTTTAGGTGAAGGGATTCTTATTTCTTCAGAGGCTACTGAACTTCTGGACTTCATAGATAATCAAGGACAAGTGCATGTGATTCAGAAATACCTTGAGAAGCCTTTGCTCTTAGAACCAGGTCATCGTAAATTTGATATTAGGTATTTTTTTGGTTTTTTATATATAGAGGGAGAATTTAGTTGTTCAGTTTGATAGATGACTGACATGAGCAATTAGTGATGACTCTGATTAATCAAAGTTGGAATTTTGATGCATTTCTTATACCCTTTTTTCCTCTTACTTTTAGAAGCTGGGTGCTAGTGGATCACCAGTATAATATCTACCTCTACAAAGAAGGTGTTCTACGGACTTCTTCAGAACCTTATAATAGTGCTAATTTCCTAGACAAAACCTGCCATCTGACCAATCACTGCATACAAAAAGAGTACTCTAAAAACTATGGGAGATACGAAGAAGGGAATGAGATGTTTTTTGAGGAGTTCAATCAGTATCTGATGAGCGCTTTGAATGTTACTCTGGAGAGTACGATCTTATTACAAGTCAAAAATATAATAAGGTAACATTTTAAATTTGCCAGAATAGTACACAAAGGAGTCTACCAAGGCACAACTTACAAGTTTGGTAACTACTCTGCCTCTGTGTTTGTGTGTATGTGTATACACACATACATATAAAAGGTTTTGCCCCAATCTAAGATTGGTTGTTTGCATTTTAATAAAAATGCGTAGGGTGGCTCTGTGCATTTTTCTATAAACATGCACATAGAAGACCCCTTCATTGATGTAAATAAAGAAATCTGGTGGGTGGATGTACATAAAAGTTCCTAAAGTTCAAGGCAAAACTGAAACAGAATGTATTTTTACAGCCAAAGTGCTATCCCTGCCTTAGTTTAGAAATGAAAGAAGGCCTTTTCTGTACATGACACACAACTGTGTGTTACTGAACTCCTTTTTGTCTTTGGGAAGGGGCAGTGTGGAGCCAAAATGTGATGGGAAGGGAAAAGATTAAAAACTCCCTTCCTTCCTGTCCTTTGCTGCTTCTCCACTCCAAATCCTCTTCTACTGAAATGGCATGGGGGGGGGGGGGGGGGGACTTGTCTGGATTCAGCTTTATACGATTGCATGGATGTGCAAGTAAACCCTCCAAGTACTGTAGGAAGTGGATGGAAGAATCATAACAGCACCTGCATATGGTGTGTTCTTACAGTTCTAATGTAAGAAAGGTAAGTAACTCATTTAGAAATTGAAGTCTGAGATAAGAGCATGAATTAGTGGTGAAATAAGCAAGGCACAGATAAGATGAACTATGGAAAGCTTGTCATGAGCTCCCTGAAAGATCAAAAATCCATGACAAAATTGGAATTACTTAGCCAATTTTTGGAGTCCCCATAGTGAAATGGACATTTGTAGCAGTTCACAATTATTTATGGCCAGTACAGAATTGAATTAATAGTATTGTTGTAGGAAAAAAATGTTATTAAAGTCATTATGTTGGCCTTTATTGATATATAGTCTGCACTGCTGAGAACTACAAAGCAGTGGCTAAGTTTGGGTAGTGTGGATTTCACAGGTGGGATGGGAAGTAGTCATGCAAAAAGAGGTGAGTTTCTCTCAGCAGTTTATTTGCTGCAATAGACATGGAACATTCGGTCTCTAGATACCAGCAGGAAGTGCCAGAGGAAATCAAGAGCCAGCCTGTCCTAGTAGTTAGAATGTCAGCCTAGGAGCTGGGAGGACTAGGTTTGAATCCCTGCTGTGCTTTGGGGGCTGGCTGTGGGGGATCTTGGGCTCATCACTTTCTGTCTGTCAGCTTAGCCTGCTTCACGGGGTGGTTGTGAGGATCAGGTAGAGAAGGGCAGGATGATATTGCAAGCCACTTTGGGTTCCCTTTGGGAAGAAAAGTGTGGTCTAATACAACAAACAGGAAATTTCACAACCCCACAAGTTTAATATGCCATACTTGTGGGTACAAATCTAGTATAAGTCTGTCAACTGATACAAAATCTGTATCTGAAGAGGTGAGCAGTGACTCCTGAAAGATCATACCCTGCCACAAATGTTGTTAGTCTTTAAGGTGCTACAGAACTCTTGCTCCTTTCTACTGCTACAGACAGACTAACATGGCGGGCTTATCCATCTTGAACCGATACAAAATCTTCCTTCCACAGAAGTTGCCTTATGTGTATAGAACCTGCTATCAGCACCAAACACCTCCACTACCAGAGCTTCCAGCTCTTTGGTTTTGATTTCATGGTGGATGAGGACTTGAAGGTCTGGCTAATTGAAGTCAATGGTGCCCCTGCTTGTGCCCAGTGAGTATCCTATTCCAGAAGCACCCTGATAAAACTATTATGTGCATGCACAGGAAGTACAGGAGTATCCCCAGAGACTCGGACAAAGACACTGCCTTTGCTGTTTTCAGGTGAAACAAAGGGAGGCAAGATCAGCTCGGTCATTAGTATTCATACATGTTTCTCTCTCCCACTCCGAGTAGTATGATCTTCTCTTCCTCTTCAGGGAAGAACAGAGGTAGGGAAAAGCACCCCTGGATGGAGCTGCTTGAGAAGATGACTTCTTTCCTCCTTGCCTTATCGTCAGTGTATGTAAAACCAAGGTGGCTGGCCCCTTTGCTAATAGCAATAACAGCAAAACCAGGCCACCCACAGACAAGGGGCAGAATGCAGTGAGATGCAAATAGCAGCATCACAGATCTTTCCTGTATTCCCCCCCACGCATGCACCAGCAGCCCTTTCTGACCTTCAGTAAGTTTATTCCCAGGATCATGTGACCTACTTGCATGAATAGCCATATGGGTCATGAGGCTGCAGAGGGGTGGATGGAATTCTCTTACCTCTTGTATCAGGGATGTGGTGCCGATGGAAGCGGCAGGGTGATTTTGTACTTGTCCTAGCTGCTGCCTCCCAGCCCACATGGCATAGACACCACGTGGGTTCTATGCCCCCAGGAATAAATTTTCCTGGAGCCAGAAAGTACTGTTTGGGGTGGGGAGGGGGTTGCTACTTTCCCCCCCCCCCTTGCAGTGCTCCAGTTGATAAAGCCATCAAATGCATTTCAGCAAACTGGCTATTTTGGAGCAAGGGAAAAACCCCAATTTCCATGTATAGCAAGAAGAACACAAGTTCAGTGCTACCTGTGTACACAAACTAGGGTGACAGCTGTTTTGTTTGCTAGTGCACCCTCCATCAGCACAACACAGAGAAGAGCTTTAGAACATGGCAAAGGAAACCTCTCAATGTACATGTTTCTGCTGCTCTGGTATCAAGAATGTTCCAATAATCTCTGGAAGTAAAATAGCCAAAGATATTAAGTGATGTAAATGAACCAGGGTTACCAACATCCAGGTGGGGCCTGGGGATCTTCCGCTTTTGCCACTGATCTCCAGCTGACAGATCAGCTCCCCTGGAGAAAATGTCTGCTTTGAAAGGTGGGCTCTATAGCATTGTACCATGCTGAGGCTCCTCCGCTCCCCAAACCCAACCCTCTCCGGGATCCACCCCCAAAGTCTCCAGGTATTTTCCAACCCAGACCTGGCAACCCTAAAATGAACACTTACTCCTCTGCTCTTTATACCACTTTGGAAACACTGGAAACTACTTTCATCACAGTTTTAAAAACACAAACAGGTGTTGTCTTAGCACATTCACGGACCCTTAGTTGGCCATCCTGACCGCCTTCTATGTTATCACATTTGTGGTGTCCAGCAGGGATTCTGAAACTCTGTTCCTCACAGCAACACTGTTTTCCAAATGTTGCCGGACACAGGGAGGAAGCGTATGTGAGATCACTTCCTCTGCATGTTCTCCCTGTGCAGACAATTCGGCAATGGCAGGGGATGATCTTCCCTTGCCACACGGTCAGTCAGTGTAGACAGGCTATTTGTATGGGGCTGTCTTTCAGGTAAAGACACTCCCCCCAAGTATTCTTGCAGAGCTCCGTCTGTGATAGCTGTCAGTGGGAACACTGTGCACATGGAGGGCTCCCGGTGGGAATAAAAATGGGTAAATTGCATTGTTTGGAATGGGATTGTAATTCTCTGTTGTGTTTGTGTGTTGTTTTTTGTTGTTGTTGCTGCTGTTTTTGGCTTCTAGGAAACTTTATGCAGAGCTTTGCCAAGGCATAGTGGATGTGGCCATTTCTAGCGTCTTTCCCCTTAGTGACACTGTGCAAAAGCAGAGTCAGCAATCAATATTTATTAAATTGTGAGGATATAGAAGCCTCTGCCATGTACATGGAAGAACTGTTGCCTGTTGAATCTAGGAAAAAAAGAGGAAACCTGAAATGATCATTTCATCTACATATCATGTCAAAATAATGGATCAACAACATCATGGGAATTTTAAAAAGAGGAAAGATTCCATGGAGAGTCCAAGTTGAATGGAAGTCATCTCATCAGTGCTGCCCGTGTTTTGGAAAGCTTTGATTTTAAAAAACAATTCCAGTAACCGAAGCAAATTCCTCTGGGAGAATAGCAAAACCACTTTTTAAAAAATACATGCAAAACCAGGGATATGATATTGTGTTTGCCTACCTTCCTTTCCCCCTCTTTAAGTAATAAATTATTTTACCAAACTGTAGTACTAGTAGCCTTTCGGGGACTTTGAAGGGTTTGTCAACTCAACCTGTGTGGTTTCTGTTTTCTCCACATGCTACATTTCTAGTGCCTTAGCTTTGTTTCCAGTAACTAAGCTACTATGTTCTTGTTTTGTTCTGTAGGGGTTAACATAAAAAGGTGTCTTATTTTATATTTTTTAATTGGTTTCAAAATCTGTGTGTTTGGTTTCAGCACTGAACGACACTATGCATAGTTTAATTTGGATGAAGGATAATTTTCTCCCCCTCCCCCATACAGGCCAATGCAACCCATGAAACTGAGCACCAGCCATATATTGTGGCTTGCCAGGTGTTTGACAACCTGTTTTTTTTTTTGGGGGGGGGGGTTGTTTTGTTTGCAGCTAAAAACAAAAAGTTGATGAAGCCCCTGGTAGACCACCATTTATATTTGGTAGACTGTGTTCAGCTTGATTGACTATTCTGTTGTTCCTCTAAGGCACCGAAATCCTGACAAGCTTATCCCAGTGCTGGGGAATGAATGTGACCCTCTCATTTAAATGTTCGCATTATTTGCCTTCAGTGCTTCATGTATTTCCAGTTTTAGTAAAACTCCCCAAAAATATTTTTAATTGGGGGGGGGGGGTTTGCCTTGCAATTTCTTTTTTAAAAAAGGAACACTGCCAACTTCTAATTCCAGCACTAATACTTTTCGTTAATCATCCTTTTATTTGATTTGATTCTTTTCCTTATTTTAATATTGAGGCTTCAGAATAAAAGTTGTTAATGACCGCTGTTGCCCTCGTTGTTTGATAGTATTCATCTCCAGCTATTAACTAGCACCAACAGAGTATGTGTTGGAGATCAACAGCTGGATGTTCAGAGAACAATCTGGTTCTCATGAGGAATACCAGTCAGCCTCTCAGTTGACACCCCTGAGGAAGAGGTGATTCTGGCCAAAGGGACTGGCTGACAGTCTGTTTTAGAGAGCAATAGGTAGGGCTTGGCCTTCCTGAACAAGTAGCTGCCAACTAGGGTTGTTTATGTTCACCAAAGATAAGCCCAGTCAAGATAAGGCAACTTGTTTAGGAGGTACTGTACAACAGTTTTGTCTATTGAGATTAAAGTTAAGATATTATTAGAGTGTTTCAGAATGTAACCCATTTTTGACATTAGAAAAGAGCAGGAGTCCAGTAGCATCTTAAAGACTAACAAAATATGTGGCAGGGTATGAGCTCTCGTGAGTCAATGCTTGCTTCTTCAGATAAGGTGCTACTGGACTCTTGTTCTTTTCTGCTGCTACAGACAGACTAACATGGCTACCCACCTTGACCATTTTTGACATGTATAGGTAGGACATCATCATTGCTGTTAACTTTCTGAAACATTTCCATGAATTTTGGACTGTCATTCCCATTGTGAATTACAATAATTGTAAAATTCAGTTTATGATATGAAGAAGTTGACAATGTCCCTTTTTAAAGGCTCTGGATAAACATTAGATGTGGAAAACACTAGTTCAGTACAATAGAACATACTAGAATTTGTTTTTGTTCTTGAAGGAACCTAAGAGGTATACCGGGTAACTTAGACATCATGTGTATTCCATGTTGCATTTGTGCTGTCTGAAGAATTTTCAGTAGAATCAAGGCATGTAATGCAAACATATACCCTGATCCCCTTCATATTTACTTAGAAATACATACTGTCAACTTTCCATGGGACTTACTTCATGTGCAGGTGTTCAGGATCACAACCTTATGCTTAATATTCAGGAAGTCAGAATAAGGTTTGCAAATATTTGCTATTAGCTTAAAATCCTGGTAGGCATTCTATAAATTACTGTAAGGCCGTTTCTAAATACAGTGCAAGTTGAATACTAAAGTACTTCAGAAATACATGACTTTTCTTTTAGAATGCACCGCAAGCTTGGTATAATAAATGGAATAACTATATTAATGAACAGCTTTAGTAGGAGAAGCTTTCTTTTGAGATTCTGTGGGGGCCTTGGAAGCCCACCCTTTAAGAGTTCTCTTAGCATGCTGGTCGATGTCAGAATTGTGTCTTGTTCTGAAATCAGATAATGTCCATTAGTAGGCTCTAATCCTAAACCCACTAATTAGGGTGAAAGTCCAATTGTACTGGCTGAGATTTGCTTCTAAGTAAACATGCTTAGGGTTGCATTTTAAGGCTTCGTTCCTGTGTACACCTGCTTAGGAGTAAGCACCATTGAACTTGTTAGGATTTATAACCAAGAAGTATCGGACAGTAGCTACCAATAATGGTGATGGGGAATGGTTTGCATGCAGGTGAAACCAAACAGATTCCTATTATGCAGTTTTCAGGGTTTTGGCTTGCATCCTTGAACATGCTGGCATAATTTTGCACTGATATTACGGTAATCATCACAGAAATTTGACTTGTCAGGCATGGTGACTTTTGGATTTGGCCGTGATAGGTGAATATTAATTGATGCTTACCTTGCCATGCTGTGCAGAATTTAACTGCCTCTAGAACTCTTTAGCCATTGCAGCAAACATAGCTAGAGAAGCATGTATTTGACATTTTATGGCTTTTTAGATCTTAAGAGCTTTGGTTCACCTTACAGCATAGTACACAAAACTAGGCCAAACTGTTGGGGTTTGTGATGGGACTAAATGCAAATATTTCAGCTTAATGACGTTTAGGATTGACAACTCTTTAATCAGCCTCTGCTTTTGAACAGCTTAGTTACCATGCTGATATTTCCGCAAATTGAAATATTGTTAAAGATACAGGAGTGGCCCAAGAAGGCTCCCCCCCTACTCAGCTGGAAACTCTTGAATCATAGATGAGGCTACTTGCTATCTTGTGCTAGTCCTTTGTATCCTTCTTGAGTTTGTAATGGAGGAAATAACTGCCTCCTTGAATGAAAGATGGTCGGTCTGTGGCTCCTGAGATAAAATGATAGGCTTCCTTCTTTCCCACCAGATAAGGAACTGTTGTATGTCTGCTGTGGGGCTGGTCATGCTGCAGAGGATTCTAAGGATGTCCTGGAGCACACGCTCAATTCACACAGAATGCTGGGCCAAGGAACTGTTGTATGTCTGCTGTGGGGCTGCTCATGCTGCAGAGGATTCTGAGGATGTCCTGGGGCACACGCTCAATTCACACAGAATGCTGGTCAGACTTGCTGGGCCTCATTACCACTCTGCGTGGACTGAGAGTTCACCCTAGAACACACCCAACACTCAACATTGCTGAGGAAGTTCAGTCTGTTTGTCAGGCTGTCAGTTAGGGAAACATGTCCTCCGGTATTGATCTTCTTATTGAACAGCCGGATTGAAACTTTTGAATAACACCAGTAATCCTCAGAACACAGTTTGAAAACCATTGCCTTGGGACATGTCCACAGACAGATTTTTCAGGTGTGGTCATTCAACAGTTTTGGATAGCCCATCCTTTTAGCAACTGGCATCTGTGTACCTTAGTGGCTCTATCCATTCTCATGTCTTTTGCTTTATTTTTCTGTGAATGGGTGCTGTGGTGTTAAATGTCTCTAAAAATCCTGTGCATTGGCCCTGCCGATCTATTTCTAGCACTGCATACGTTGTTCCATTCATAATTTTGATTTCCCTTCCAGACTGAAATGTTATGAACTGTGATTTAGATGGTGAAGGAAGTAAGATGCAGATTTGTTAATGAAACTGTTAAATTGCATCAGAGTATGGATTATTGGATGTATAATCACAGCACAACCTCATTGATGCAAATAGCTTCAAAATCAATGCATTTGAATAATTACAATGTTGTACTCCCATAAGGGTGGGAGATAGTAAAAACTAAGAGACCTCGATAATAGAGATTTGAATGAATGGAGGTGTTATTGGCCTTTAAATAGGTTCCTTTATATCCTTGGCATGAAGACTTGTATGAAAGAAGGTAGTAAGTGAATCCTGAGGTACTGGATGACTTTAAGGAGCTTTCATAAATGCAGAATAGCAGAAAAGTGCTGCAACCTATTAACTTACTACATTGCAATTTCTGACCATTACTATGAAGGTTTTGTTCTTGTAGTAAGAAGGAACTGTGGAAAATCCTAGTTTAGGAACACTAAGATAGCACATACAGTTAATATATGTTGTTAAAAAGGGCTGTACCCCATTTTAAGACAACTTTATGTATGCCCACTTTGATATTGGGGTATATATTTTCTACACTGTAAACTGATTGTGCATCCTTTGTAATGTGGTGGAATCATACATACTGGAGTTTATCATTTGTCAAATCCAACCAAGTTATAGAAATGTGGTTTTCTACTGAACAGACCTGCAAAGCAATAAACATAGAATGAATTCAAGTAGTAAGGTATAAATACCCATATTCTTAATGCAGATACCATGTACATCTGTTTCATGAAATGATGGAAGTGTTATATGCTAGATAGTGACAAAAAGACAGTCCTACAGAATGAGATTGTGGGTGATCAAATGTAAGATCTGAAGTCTTTTTTTAAGTGTTTTGTGCAGAGATATGTTGCCCTTTTTATTAAAAAAAATACCTAAACAGGAAGCATGCAGTACTGATAAACTGACATCTATACATTTAAAGCCACCATTTTCAGTCTGTCAGATTTGATATTCCTTACGGTCTTTGCCGATGTTACTTAGCTTTGATAGTTGGGGGGCTCAGTGTTGTTGCTTTGATTTGAGATGAGGCAGCTTTTGGATATTTTCTGAGCATTATGTGTAATCCTCCTTTAATAAGGTATTTTGTTTCTTTTTTGGAATAAGGAAATAAAATTTCTCCCATACATTGTAAAATTTAAATATTCACAAAACAGAGGCCCTTTTGAAAATGAAAGCACTTTTTTTACAATGAAGGCCCAGGAATATTGAGTTGGCTTAAGAAAATTACATTTATTCGAGGGTTGCCATTGTTGCTATCTCAGATGGTTTCCACTGATTTATTTCCCCTTTATACCATCTTACATCTTATTTTGGGTTCTGATTGAAGTTTCAACAGCACTTATGGGAAAAATGAAAACGGAAGGAGACAGGAAAGGCCTCTGTACAACGGATAGTTTCTATCATCTTTTTTCCTTAACAGTGGCTTTGTGTCTTCAGCAGCAGTATGATAAGATGGACGTTCAAAACATGTAGTTTACTCAGAATTATAGCAGCACTGGATGAATTTCTGCTTGTTATGCAGCTGTTTGAAAGC